TCGATGTCGACGTCTTCCTAAGTTACTCTCTCCTTTTTGAGGCAGTGTCTTTCACTGAACCAGAAACTCACTGATTTGCCAGACTGGTTGGCAGCAAGCCCCGGGATCCTATTTTACCACCTGCCCAGGGCTTACAGGTGTGTGCTGTGGCACCTGGGTTTTTACATGGTCCCTGTGTTCAGTCCACAAAGACTTTGCTAACTGAACTGTCTCCCTAGTTCTTAAGAGACATAATAATTTAACCATTGAGTCCTAGCCCTCTTCCTCTGAATTCACCATTAGAACTTTCAAAGACCCATGGAGGACTTGAATTCAGATGGAGCATATCAAAGGTAGGCCTTATCGGAGTATTGTCTGAGACCTACCTATCACATGCTGACTTCTGAAAATGCTTGTTAGAAATATATAATCAAATCTCACAAATGCAATATTGAAGAAAAACAACAGACAAGGAAGCCAGATGAATTAATGGAAATCGTAGAAGTATCATAAGTGCTAATTTTACAGAAATAACAATTAGTGCTGTGCGCAACTACGTACCACCCATCTGGATAACTTGGACAAGTGGAGAAATTCTTATACATACTCAGCCTACCATAACTGAATCATGAAGACTCAGAAAAATCTGTGAAAGTTCTTTGTCTTTTTTTTTTTTCTTTTCTTTTTTGGTTTTTTTGAGACAGGGTTTCTCTGTGTAGCTTTGCACCTTTCCTGGATCTCACTTGGTAGCCCTCGAACTGTGTAGCTTTGCACCTTTCCTTGAACTCACAGAGATCCGCCTGGCTCTGCTGGGATTAAAGGCGTGTGCCACCACCGCCCAGCCTTTGTCTTTTAATTACTCAATGAACCAGCCTTTTTTTCCTAAGAATTTATTTGATTTGTAACTGTGTGTGTGTGTGTGTGTGTGTGTGTGTGTGTGTGTGTTTATGTGCACAAGCCTGCAGTGCCCACAGAGGCCAGAAACGGGTATCGGATCCCCAGAAGCTGGAGTTAAAGAAGACTGTCGCCTGATATGGGTGATGGGAACCAAACTTAGTTCTCTGCAGGAGCAGTATGTGCTCTTAACTGCTGAGCCATCCCTCTAGCCCCAAAGTTAAATTTGGACCTAAGTCAGTAACTTAGAAAGGCCCAGAGCCATATGGTTTCACTGGTGAATTCCTTCGAACATTTAAATAAGAAATAAGAATTAACACTGTGGGCTGGGGAGTGTGCCCTGCCCTGCCCTGCCCTGCCCTGCCCTGCTCTTGCGGAGAATGGAGAATGGATTTGCCTGACACCCACATCCCAGCACAGCTGCCTGTGACTCTAGCACCAAGGGATCCATAGACACACATACATATGTAGTATATTGTTTGCATAAGTGTTAGCCTCAAAAAGGTTCCAAAAATATTAATTATGGACCCCATAGCCAACCTCCAGACCAAACTTCTGAGGGAAGGATCTGGAGACCTTGGCTGAAAAAGACGCCTCTACCAAGTTGTTCTTAAGAACTGGATTCTGGAAACCTTAAAGGAAGGAGAACATCTGTATCAAATGCCCAAGAATTCTTCAATTCAACCCCCAAGTAAATATCCCTTGGTTAAGAAGTTGTTGATTTGAGTCACTCACCTTCCCCTTTGAGGAAAATTCATGTCCTGTTTTGGGTGCTAATAAAAATAAGAACACAATGCCATAGAAATTTGTAGTTTTATATTTTCTATTTAAAATATTATTCTAATGTGGACTATCTGAAGACATGGAAAAATAACTTCACTGAGGCCCATGAAAATATGGCTGGTGCTAGGACCCAGCGGAACTCAGCAACTTTGGTTGGAGATGAAACATCTCCTCATGGGTGTGGTGCAGTTTTAAGCAGGTACAGAAAAGCCAGTTCTTCCACATGCGCGCTACTCTGAGGCTTTTGCAGTTCTCTCCAAACCATCTCCAGGATTTTAGCCGCTATCACACCTGCTCGCTAACCCGCAGGCATGTTTCTGGCAAAGGCGATCCTGGAAGGAGCAGATCGGGGTCTTGGGGGGGCTCTCGGAGGCCTTCTTGGAGGAGGTGCTCAGGGAAGAGGAGGCGGAGGCAACATCGGAGGGATCATTGGAGGAATTGTCAATTTTATCAGCGAGGCGGCTGCTGCTCAGTACACCCCCGAGCCGCCTCCCCCGCAGCAGCGGCATTTTACCACTGTGGAGGCCTCGGAAAGCGAGGAAGTCAGGCGCTTTCGGCAACAGTTTGCACAACTGGCTGGACCCGACATGGAGGTGGGTGCCAAGGACCTGATGAATATTCTCAACAAAGTCCTTTCCAAGCACAAGGATCTGAAGACCGATGGTTTCAGCCTTGACACCTGCAGGAGCATTGTGTCGGTCATGGACAGTGATACGACGGGGAGGCTGGGCTTTGAGGAGTTTAAGTACCTGTGGAACAACATCAAGAAGTGGCAGTGTGTTTTTAAGCAGTATGACAGCGACCACTCTGGTTCTCTCCGAAGCTCCCAGCTGCGCAGTGCTGTGCAGGCGGCAGGCTTCCAGCTCAATGAGCAGCTTTACCTAATGGTTGTCCGTCGGTATGCCGATGAGGATGGCAGTATGGACTTCAACAACTTCATCTCCTGCCTGGTCCGTCTGGATGCCATGTTTCGGGCTTTCAAGTCCCTGGATCGTGATGCGGACGGCCTGATTCAGGTGTCCATCCGAGAATGGCTGCAGCTGACCATGTATTCCTGAAGTGGATAGAGAGAGACAGAGACCCTCCATGCAGGACAGGGCTGCAGAGCGCCTTGCTGTGTGAGCCATGGCTCATATTCCCCCCAACAGCTACCATTTCCAGGGGGCGGGGGTAGCACTCTTTTATAATGCTGCATATTCCTGATCGTCTACACTATACTGCTTAATTAAAACTAACTTTGGACAAAAAGTGTTCTGAGTGGTTTGTATATTGGTTTTTTTGAGAGGTGATATGTAGAGACATATACATGTGATGAGGAGGTACTGTTGACTTATTGGTTATTACTTATTGGTGAATGGATTAGCATTGTTTACGATCCTGGACTAAAGAAAGCATCAGGAGGTAGGATTTTTTTTTTCCCTTTGAAAGGCTGAGAAGGAAAGATCAAAGACTGTCCTACTCATAATTTCACATCTGGTCTTTATGAAGAAGTGTACTTTTTAGAGAGCTTACTTTATTGTATAGTGATAGGTTCAAAAATGTAAGATTAAGCTATTTTATTCAGGGGTATCATTTTATAAAAGACATCGAGCGCCTACCTGAAAGTCTAGAGTCCTTTGGCTGTTTTCTAGTAAGACAAACAGAGCAGCTTTGTGTTAGTGTTTGTAAAGAGTCAACGGCATTGAGGAATAAAAAGGTATTCCAGTTGTTCAAAACATCTTTAGCCATCTTAATGAATCAAAATGATCACCCTTATGTTTACTTCATACAAAATCAGGCGCACCCAGGTGATGGTAGCCAGCTCTTGTCCCATCTTGCCCTACCTTAGAGCAAGGAAAATTCTTTTGCTTATCTTTGGAAACAACAGGCAGGGAGAAAAAAAAAAAAAAAAGGATTGGAAAAAACACATAATTCGCAGTCAGTGAAGTGGAATGTGGAGCAGCATAGAAAGCAAATGTTGCCGACTTTTATTGCGGTGGTTGGAGGGCCTGGCTACAGTTTAGCCGTGCAGGGGGAGCCCTTTAGCAAGAGTGACTGACTCCTCCTCCAGATGAAGTGAGTCTCTCCTCAGCCCTCTTCTTTAAGCTCCTCAGATCATGCTAATGCCGAGCTGACAGTTCTAAACGCTTTAGATCATGCCTGGCTCCCCGTGTTTTTCAAATCTGTCTCAGCCAGAACTGCCAAGCAGGTGAGTCAGTGCCACCTCCATTCAAGAAAGGGAAAATGGGAATAGTGAGAACCTGGCACCCTACCGCTTAGTAAACCAGCCTTTCTGGTCTATAACTCTTAACCTGGCTTTATTGTTTTGGTACGAGCTGTTTGTTACGACCAAGCAAGCAAAACTCAGGACCCACACGAGGCTTGGTTGCAAGTCTTTGTTCACCCATGCCCCAGTCTTCAGTGTTTTTCACTCTCTGCTGTGTTTGATGCATTCTTTCCATCCTGGACCGCATTGGAGAGTCCTTCTAAGATCAAAACTAATTTAGAAGAAAGTTGTAACTATGGAAATGGTGTAGTTGGCCTCTTAGGAGGTCTGGAGCTCATGTCAGAAAGCCCCAGTGATGTTGGGAAAGGTTGACATTGAGCCTCTGTGTGCCCCATCACCACCATCATGTAGTATTTATGAACTACCACACACATGATTCTGAGCCAAGCACAGAGATCACATCTACTTTCTTAAAGGAACTTGTAATTTAACTTGGTCTGATAGTCTGCTTAGACCAGCCGTGGGAATATAAGCACGAGGCTGCTGCCAGCAACAACATACTCATATCAGCCTCACTATTGTAGAATAAATCCAGGAATACATCAGACACGGGAGCAGGGGAGTAGCCAGGAAAGAGAGAAAACTGCCAAGATGTCTATCGGGACTCTCAGAATATGTTTCTAATTTGATTTCCACATTGTGGTTGTGGAAAGGACAATGAAGAGCTTGTATTTTTCCCTCCAAATTTCATCATAAATGTTTTATGCAAGTTAAGGCTGTCATCGCTACTAGAAGTGGCATTAAGTATTTCCCTCATTCCTCCAGCTAAGAGAATACCTATTTCATGATTCTCCTCTAACGTGTGCATGAAAAACATCCAGAAGCCACCTAAGTTTCTCTTCTGTTGTTTTCTACATTCATATAAAATGTATCTAAATTACCCCAGTCCCCATTGTAGATACTAGAAGATTTAGTCCAAACTCAAGATTGTCCTAAGTAGGAAAGTCTTAGGCTATTGTATAGAACCAACAGCTCAAACAGTGGACTGAGTTTCTAAGTTTTCATTCAATGTTTATTATTTAAAACTTCATTTTCAAGGTTAAAGAACGTATTAGTTTGCAACTTCAAAAAATGTACCATGTCCCTGGGCATAGAGTCACATGTTTATGATCATCACACTTGGGATAAAGGCCGGGGGTCAGGAGTTCAAGTCAAGCTGTGACTATGTAGTTAGTGAGCTTGAGACCAGCCTTGGTTACATAAGACCCTCTCTCAATCTCTGTAGCTCCCATGCAAAAATTATCCATTTCTATATGGAAAAATACTTCTAGCCTATGACGAAGGCTTTTGATTCATCCACTCTACTGTCAGTGAATGTCTAACATTAAAGAATACAGTCCAGACGGTAAACTGAGAATGAGAAAGAGAAGAATATATGAAATTGTGCTATCTGCAAATTTACATTTCAAAAAACTGCATCTAACTTTGAAAATACCTTTATCTTGATTGTATCCACTAAGTTCTATAACCTATAAAACCATAGAAAGGAACCGTGTGCTGTTTATCTGAAAGCAAGAAACTTCCAAAAAACATCCATAATGTGTATGTCATCTTGAAGGTCACTTTAGGAATATGTTTTGGTTTTAAAGCTTTATCTTCAGAGCAACCCTGTACCTGAATGTGAATTGATCTTGGAGAATGTCAGAATTACCATTTGAAAATGCTCACATAATGCTAAGTATATTAAAATAGTTTAATTACAGTAAAATTGATAGTATTCTTATATATGTGGTAGAAATATACTCCCAATTGGAATACCCACATAATTGGGATATCTTTCCTTGCCTGCTTTGATTACTGAGATAAACAATAATAGTGTTCCTCAGGGTACAATGTGTCATCACAGATGGAGACTTAAGGCAGACAAGTAGAATATATTTTATGGGCAATGTTTTGAATGTTACTCTGAGAACATTGGTTATCTCTCATTCCCAAAGATGATATCAATTATAACACAACAAAAAGAAAAAGAAAAATCATCCTTGGGAACTAACCCTTATAAAATGTATTCAAAATCGTATCCTTAAATCTTATAAAATCTTATAGAAGACTCAAAACCTTATAAAATATCTGATTCTAAATGACAAAATACATTAAGTTCTGAAACAGCCTCAAAGAACTGATGCCTGAGAATCAGGCCATTTATTCTTCCTGAGATTTTTTTAAATTTATTTTTATGTGTATGGATGTTCGGCTGTGGATATGGCTATGCACCATGTATGTGCAGTACCTGCAGAGGCCAGAAGAGGGCATCAGATCCCCTTAGACTGGAGTTAGGGATGGTTGTTAGCTGCCACATGGGTGCTGGAAATTGAAACGGGGTCCTCTGAAAGAGCAGCCAGTGCTCCTAACTACAGAGTGGTCTCTCTAGGCCCACTCCTGATATTTTAAACAGCTAATACAAGGACAAGTCACCTGGGCTTCCCATTGCTCCTAGAGGCCAAGGCAGCAGGTGAAAGGTGCTGGGTGACAGGACTCACTCTAACTCCTTCCACACTTTTTTCTGACCCTGCTGACCTCCAGGAAAGGGATGAAGCCACAGCTGGAGCTCACTGAAGCTTGGCCATGCTTCTTTTTGCAGTGACTTGGTGTAACTCCTCAGTGCCAACTCTGGACTATTCCTCAGCTCTGCCTTGGCAAAGGATGTGGAGAAATGACTAGGACCTTCCATTGAAAGGTTTATTTCTTCATTTAAATGTAGCTGTGAAAAAAATTTTAAGACCAGGTGCTATTATTAAGTTTATAATTCTTCTTAGGGAAGTTTTAAGGAAACTACCATAGATTTATGGAACAATTTTTTTTAAATCACAGAACTGATTCAAAAATATGAAAATTAAAAAGAATGTATGTTGTTATATAACTCTTTGTACATTTAAAAATATACCTCATCAAACTGTTAGATGTGAATGATTTATGGTCAAACTACTTAAATTTAATTGCAGTTATAGAAATGGTGAGTTTTATTAACTTGAAATGAAATGCTGTCTTGGTTTCACTAGTGGTTTCTACAGTTTTTTCCAGTTCTAAATTTTATTATACTGATTTAGAAGCCTCAGTAGTATGTCATTAATCCAATAAAGTAATCTCTGCAAGTAATTTCCATATTGATTTTTCCTCCTTTACATTACTAGAAAGAAAAATTACATAGTCTTTCTCATGTGAGTCAAGGGTCTGGCATTATGTAATCATATCAATAAAAAAAAGTGTCCATTGAAGAAAGCTTAGCCATCATATACTAATGAAAATTTGGGCACTAGCACATTGCCTTGTTTCTCATGGTAATAGGAAGGGTCTGTTGCATTTTTATTTCTGCAAAGAGTTGGGATGCTTGACCTGTGTTCCACACAGGGTTGATGGTGTAGAGAGGACTGCTCCTTCACAACTCCTGTATTGCTCAGGGAAATCAACTGCATAGGAAGCGTACCTACGTAGAGCAATTTTGCTATCATTCAGTAAGCTCCTCAGTATCTAAGGCTCATGAAAAACCACTGTGTACAGTATGTAAAGAATTAAATGGTGACGTACAAGAAGCATATTGTGCTCCTTCAGATGCTATCTTCTTTGACGCTTCCATGGTGCTGACATACCGATGTTCACTGTGGCAGTGACTACCTGGTGTATGGGATTTCAGTCAGACACTTCAAGTAGATGCATCCAGCTGGATATAACTTATACAGCAGTAAAGTTATTTTTAAAAAATAGTTATCCTTGAGATGGTTTCTAGGCAAATAGAGAAGTTCAATGACGTTAGGTTTTGTCTTAGAAATAAACCCTAATACTTGGGGGAAATCTTAAAATCTCTGTTTCTGCTTTTCTGGTGGGAACATGAAATTAAATTATTCCTTTTAGTTTCCGCCCTGCAGTAAGATAAAGCAATATGAAGAAAGTGATTTGACTTTTTGAGGTTTGGCTGTTGAGAGGCTGGTGAAATCCTCCCTAGAAAATGTGCTTATAGAGTGCCACCCTCCAGGTCAGGGGCTTTTGTGGACACCCCCTTTCTCAGGTGCACCTACTGGTTGTGTGAAGGTGGTAATCCGTGCATGATGA